CCAGAATTCCCCAGCCAGCATTCGCTGGCTGGGGAATTCTGGGAGTTGAAGTCCAGACATCTTCAAGTTGCCAAGGTTGAGAAACACTGGTCTAAGATAATGGCTGTTGCCTTCTAGCTCCCTTTGATAGTACTAAGATGGAGGTGGCTATTTTATGGGACTGAAGAATGAAAGAAATACATTTGCCTCGTGGCTTAATTTTGTTTTAATTTGGGCTTCTGATATCTCCAACACTGTAACTAATTTTTAAATAATATTGAAAACTCTCTTGGTCAGAAAGTTTGTTTTGTTCAATGAATCAAGTGCTGGAGCAGTACCGATGCGCAACACCATGTGAGTTAGATTTGGACTGGGAAAGAAGACAGCAAGCAGATATAGTATTCCATAAGAGATCAGTGATGGGTGATCCTGAATTCATGAATGAAGCGAAACGATCACATAGGGGACATAATGAGGAATATTGCAATATGGAAATGCTACCTCAGACCAGAAAGAGTTTTGGCTTAGCAAATCCGATCCTTCTTATTCTGTCATCCCCTCCCCCCTACAGAGAGCCAGTCTGGAGGGCAACCTGCACGAAGTAGAGTCTCGCTATGCAATGCAAATGGAACACCTGAACGGACTCCTGCTGCGGACAGAAGCTGAACTGGTACAGCTAAGGAATGACGTCCAGCGCCAGGCAGATGAATACCAGGCTCTGTTAAACATCAAAGACAAGCTGGAAGCAGAGATTGCTACCTATAGGAATCTCCTGGAGGGCGGAGAGGAATTGAGGTAAGCCTGTCCCCTTTCATAACCTCTTCAGGACTAGGATAGACAAAGAGACTGAGCTATTTGCTTTGATCTTACAAATTCCCTCTGGTGGTTTTGATTGTGCATTCCTTATCATGGGTCATACTGGCTTAGGGAGCTAAACAAAATCATTCAGAGTGATCCTTCAGCTTTCATATTCTAAGACCCACCAATCAGTTTTAGCAAACAATGTGAAATATGCTGTGATAGAAACAAAACTATTTCTTTTTTCTGTGAAGGATGGTTATGCTTGCAGGTATTCAATCAGTTTTTAAAACTAAAAAAAAACATTAACATATTCGGTGCCTACTTAGATTAAAGATTAATTTTGAGTTTAAGTAATGTGTAGAATTGCTGGCCTAGATTACCCTCACACGTGTGTATCCATCTCTTTAATAAGCTCTGAAACAGTTTTTACCAAATTTGTGAAAGGAAATATGACACATATAGCTGAATTGAATTTAAATTTTTAAGTACGGTAGCCCTAATTCTATTAAATTCGAGTTAATACCTTTGAGAAACTACGGCAATTCAGCAGAAATGTTAGGAATATTTGAAAGTAGCAATAGAGAAGCTGTTTCTGATGTCTAGGTCATTTTTTTAATATTATAGTCCAGTGTTTCTCAAGCTTAGCAACTTTTAAGATATGTGGAGTTCAACTCCCAGAACTCCCGGGCCAGACAGATATCTTAAAGTTGCCATGGCTGAAAAACACTGCTATGGCCAAACAGTAGATTTGGATCCTTTAAATGCCAAAACAAGTCACACCTGGGCCTGAAAAGAACAAATTGATATTTACAGTGTTTTCAGCATGACATGCAAGTGGAAGCTGCAACCTTAGTAACCTGACACCAACTGGGTGGGTAATTTTGTAATGTTGCTTTTTTTGCAGCTTACCTCGACTTGATGCCTTCCAAGTATCTTGAGGTTATAATTATCACTTATTCTAACATGCCTAGCAGGGAATGTTACCTCAGGATAATGTGTTTTAACATTCTAGAATGTATACAGCGATTTATCCAAGAAATCCAATCATTTCCTGCCCTTAATATGCAGCGTGGAACTTATCAAGCTAGACTAAGTGACACATGTGAGATACATTCCAACATCAAATGTGGAAAGGGATTTTTGTTCATTACCCAAATCTTTCTTCCTTCAGCTTGAAAGACGCTTTACGGGAAAGCACCATGTCTCAGAAGATTCACTCCACCAAAATAGTGGATGGCAAAGTGGTGTCGGAGACCAAAGAAACCAAAATATTGAAGCGTTGATCTCCTCCTGGTGTGGCCAACCTCCTGATGCAGCTTCAGTGGCATCGTTTTATTTTGAAGTGGGAGGCTGCGAGGAAGGAATTGGGCTGATTCATTATAAAATTCAATAAAGCAGTATGCCTGAAAACAATGCTGTGCTGTACCTGTGCCATTCTTGTGAGAAATTCCTCAGAGTCCCAGCACTGAGAGTTGTTCGCTAGTGAGGTTCAGTGTTCAAGGGTTTCTGTGTTTAGGAAGCACATTTCATAATGGCTAGATTTGTGCACAATGCTAATCCATGGTTTGGATAGGCTACTCTAGTTGGGTTCACACCTTGCAACTGGCGGCCTGCAGGCTGGATAAATCATGTGCGGGCCACACCCACCCTGGCTTCACAAAGGCAAAAAAACATTGCAATATGTCATGATCCAGTTCATGACGCAATCTGGTTTGGCGCTTGTGCCTTTAAGCCAAATCCCAGAGGTACTTTATGGTGGTGTGTGTCCTATGAACCTGAACATTTCAACTCTCTGCCATGGAACCATCTGCCTTATGTAATAATACAACGTAAACTTGTACAGTGCAAACCAAGTTAATCTCACTTCTGCAATCATGTGAGAAGGGAGATGTGCCTAAAATCATCCAACATTCTTCTATAGTTGCATATTGGAGAAATCTTGAAGTCCATAGTGATAGACAAGAACTTTGGTTCCTCACACAAAAGATGTCATTACTGCCCTTTATCTTTACCAGCATTTGGTGTCATTTCTCCATTTTTCCATGATTGGTGAAACATTCCATGAAGTTATAGAGATTCATCTATTTGTTCTAGTTATTCACCAGTGACATATAATTTGGAATTATTCGCTCCATTTTTTTCTGCACACCTAACTATCCGTTTTTTTACATGGCATTCTCTGCATCTAAAAGTACACATTTATGACCCCAACCTACATTCTATTTGGGTTGGTGTATTTGTTTAACAATTAATACGTTAAACAACCAGAGATATCCTTGTCTTACTTCCTGTTCCATGTTTACCCATTCATCTCCAGGAGAGTGTCTACAACTATGCAAACTTTTAATTTCTTAAAGCATACAAAAAATATTACTCATTCTTGACTGTTGGTTTAACTTATACAAACATTTTCCCAAGTGTTTTAAAAACTACCGGTACCAAAATTGCAGAAACTGCTCAAGCCCCTGCACCAAATAATGAATCCCAATAAATAGATAAGTGATATTCCTCTTGTAATATTTCAGAAATATGAAAGGCTTCATTAATGAACGTTGTGTATGTGGACGGTTGTGTCTCCAAATCTGCTAGATAACAGGCATAAACCTAGCTCCATCCTCTCTTTCTGCAAGTAGGTTGATATCAGGCACCCACTCAAATGGGATGCGCTTAAGATCAGGACAATACCCTCACTATTTTCAGATTTTGACACCACATCGTCATGAATGTCTGTATTTTGACAACTCATATTTTTTTCACACTTCATGGGAAATTTTAGGAATAGTTCTGCCTATGCATAAAAACTGCACATAGATGAAACTCTAAGTAAAAAAGATTCCTAGGGCCCAGTTATATATACAGATCCAATATAAATAAAAAATGGGATAGTTACCCTTTACAAAGCCATCTGTTTCTATAGATTTGGGCGCAAACTAAAATGACTACAGTCTTCCCAAAGCTTATGTGATGTCTTCCAGAGCTACAACCCAAGAGTCAGGCCTAATTAATAACACAATTATTTTGTTTAATTTTTTTTTAAAAGCAGAAGTATTGACACTTGCTCTTATTGAATTATTTTCTTTTCCGACTTTTCCTTTGTTTTGGACAAAGTGGCAAGACCATGGATTTGGAAAGGTCAAACTCATGGAAGGACCTCCAAAACAGGAGTGAATAACAAATGTAATAAATAAATAGGAATACATTCCAGGAGGTATCTTTGTTTAATGATGAATAACTAGCTCTGGTCTTATAATTACACTTTCTACCTAGAAGTATAGCTTGTTTTATTTTATTGTCAATACACTTAATGGAATTATAAGGCTAAGGCCTGGGCTGCAAAATTCTGAACAGACAGCAGATGGCAGTCTGTTTCCTATTGTCTATTCCCATTGTCTCGATTTTTTACAATTGACATATGGTAACCCTGTAGAATACACTTGAATACCAGCTATTGTACCTTTCTATATAAAATCTGGTTTAGGAATAACAATAGCAAGAGAAAAAAGGCTAAATTAAGTGGGAAGCAAATTGCCATTGTTTGCCCTGAATTTGATTTGAATTAGGTGTACAGCATGAATGAGTGACCTGGGGCTCACAGCTCACTGCTCACTGGGGGGCTCACAGCAACTTTGTGACACCTTTGGACACTCAAGATTATGCTTCAGAAGTTCAGTGCCCCCCAAAACCCATTTTTGTACAGAATTTAGGGGGTTGATTGGTTGATTAGTTTAGAAAAAAGGAAAATATGGAATGTTACATATTTTTGAGAGGTGTATTAGTCTGAAAGGGAGAAAATTTGAATCCCCAGAGGAACCAAATAATTTCAGAGAGTGGAGATGGCAGAGCTGAGGCATGAGTAAGTTCTTGCCATGCCATATTAATCCTTATGGCCAGAGCTACTAAAATACAACCACTCCATAAAAATTATCAACAGAAGGCAGCCCTGCAGCCAGAAGGAGTACACATCATTTTTTTTCCTAGATCATTTATCAGCCCAACGCAGTAAAGAGCTTAAGCTCAGGGAAAAAAAACCCAATATAATCTTTCTCAGGAATTTTTTGACTCAAAATGGGTATCTCCAAATTAACTTATCAGTTACTGATAACCTTTGGTCTCTTAGAAAGACACGTCTCACCTCCCCCTGAAAAACTGCATGCCATTCAGTTGCTGGGAATAAACTACTCCCATAAAACTATAAAACAGCATGCCATCCAGTTGCTGGGAAACAAACTATTCCAGTAAAAGTATCTGTTTCTGGGGAGACTTTGAAGGGCGTCTGCTGTTCTCAGGAAAGAGAGCAAGAGATGTCAACTGCCTACTAACTCTATCATGAATTCCCTTTAGGGCTGCCTCTGGTCATACCACCTACGTGAACATTCCTGTTGCTTGACTAAAGTATTTTTTTTTCCTGCAAAAACAAGAAAGCCAAGGACATATATGGCCAATAAAACTCAACAAAAGGTAAAGTTTTCATTTCACAACAATAGAATTGGTTTACCAGTGGTGGGTTGCAGGCGGTACGCCCCGGTACGGGCGTACTGGAGCCTGGTCAGAGCACCGGATACCATTCCGGTAGGCTGCTCTTGAGGGCCCACCTGCCTGCCCGCGCTCCTTACCAATCTTTTAAGTCTTTGGCGCTTCCGCGCACACGCATGGTGCATACAGGGCCTGTGTGATGCTCCGCTGAGCAGCTGGAGCATCAGGGAGGCTCACAGAGGCGCTAAGATGCATGTGTGCGCTGCACGCATCCATGTGGACGCCGCTGGGCCCGTTCCAACCATACTTGTTGGAATGGGATCCGGAACCCACCACTGTGGTTTACCCATGGCCCAAGACAGTGATGGTGAACCTTTTTGGCATAGAGTGCCCGAACCAGAGCGTGTGTGTGTGCAGGCGTATGTAAGTGCCAGAAACCCAAAAACCAGCTGCCTGATGTGCATGCACACACCGGCCACTTGGTTTTTGGGTTTCCGGCACACACATGCGCACTGGCCAGCTGGTCTTTAGATTTCCAGCATTCCAGCACATGTGAAGACCAGTTGGCCAGCACGCATACGGGTGCCAGAAACCAGAAGAGAAGCTGGCAATAGCGCACATGCTCACAGAGAGGGCCCTGCGTGCCACCTCTGGCACGCATGCTATAGGTTTGCCATCACAGGCCTAGGATGCTGACTGCAAATATCCACAAAGAGACAGACAAGGAAATGCTAGATTCTCTAGATTCTACTGGACTCCAATTCCCACCTATCTTAATCTCGTGGCACGACAAAACCGCGGTCCACTAAAGCACGCCCGATTAAAGCGCGTACCTGATGTCATCAGCAGCGCGACAAATACGACCGCGGAGAAAAAAGGGTGCTTTAAAAAGCGCTTTTAAAGCAAGCCGATTCACGTTAAGGTAAGGGTTAGGTTTAGGGTTAGGGTTAGGGTTAGGGTTAGGGTTAGGGTTAGGGTTAGGGTTAGGGTTAGGGT